TTCTCATTTGAATGTCTTGGTTTTATAATCTAACATAGTTCAAACTACAAAACTTTAAATTTTAAAGGAAATTCAAAACAATATGTATATTTGGAGGAGGAGTTTTCCAATTTCAAAACAACAATACTTCATTTAATTAAGGGGAAATTGCCCTTTTTCTCACGTGGTAGGGAGTGGGTGCATTTAAACTCAAAATGACAAAAATCAGTGCTTTACTTCCTAAACCATGCAAATGTGCTTTTGAGTCTTCACTATCTTCAAATATGCACTTGACCTTTTAAGTTTATTAATGTTAAAGATGAAATCTCCAAAAAAAAAAAAGAAAGAAAGAAAGAGGTTAAATGGATGTTCTCTAAACCACATAGAGGTTAAACATGAATCTGATAGGAAAGAAAGAGCAGCAGCTCGAGGGGAAGAAAAGCCTCTCACCTTCATACTATGTCTCTCACACGGATGGACAGATATGCAGCACTTGCCTTCTCAAAACCGAAGCTTCACCCTACCAAGTACGGTTTTTCATGTACCATATGAAGTTCAGAAACAAATTTAAAAGGTGCTCTAGTGATAGGACCAAACTATGTAATTAACCATACTTACAAACTTCCTCAGATATATGATGCTCAGGAACTCAGTGTGCCACCAGCGCTGTTAAACATAGAAAAACTCTAGCAAGAATGATTTGGCTAATGACCTCTTCTTTTGAGCGCAAGATTTGTTGTGTCCATGCTACAAAAATATTGTCCTTTGCAATAGAATGTCGGAGACAAGTCAGCACCTCTTTTTCAAATGTTGTTACACTAGTAGAATCTGACAAGATATTAGCAATAAAGTAAGAACACCATTTGTGTATTCATGGTGAGGGTTAGTGAGATGGCTGGGAAGGAGGTTAAGAAAGAAATCGTTGTATGTCAATTTGATAAAAATGGCTTGGAATTTGTGCAACCCAAGATAAGAAAACAAGAAGAAGAAGAAAGGCTTGGAATGTTGTTTTTTGCTACATTTGATGGAAAGCAACAGGCGGATTCATCAACAAGTTTTTAAGTTTGAGATGACTGTGGATGATCATATAAGAGCTAATGTAAGCTGTACGTTAAACACAGACAAACTCTCGCAAGAATCAATCGGCTAATGATGCCTCTTCTCTTGAGGGCAATAGTTGTTTAGTGCTATACTTGCATAGAATATCATGTAAAGGCTCACGTCAATTGTCACAACGAAGAAAATATATAAGAGAATCAAGATTGAAGATGTAGGTAGAATACCTGCGTGTTTAACAGAAAGAATTTGAAAAAAGTAAACACAGATAACAAAATTAGAGCAAGTAAATTGTAAATGATAGCAGGTCTGTTCAATTGCAGGCTTACCTTTTCCTAATAATTGAGCTGGCTAGGAGGAGAGATGACTTCTTTTAAAGTAGCGGTAGGTACGTTTGAGGTGGGGTTTGGTGGGAGAATTATAGTCAATGGCCTGCCGAAAACAAGGAAGAAGTCAATGAGAGCATCGATCGATT